CCAGGGGTCCGGGCTGAGCCAGTCGCCCATGGTCGTCGCACAGAGGCTGCCCGACCGATGCTCACATCACCGAGCAAGCACTGTGGCATTTATTACCCTGCCCACGCGGTCGACCTTGCCCTTTGGGAGCTGAGGCGCTCGGCTCGGAGAGCGGCCGCCGCGACAGCGCGCGCGCGGCGCCCCCGGGGAGTGGGGCCGCGCGCTCCCGCATGTGCCTCGGGACCGTCCGTGGCCAGGCCACTGCGAAGACGCCGCGCGCGAATCGGTCCGGGCGTCGTCGAAAACGCAACGGCCTCGTCGGAGCGTTCTCTCGAGACGGCTGGCGCGTGTTGGACGTGTTCCGGACCTCGCTGGCCTGGTTTCTCCGGAGGAAGTGCGGAGAGGGTTGCTATGAAGAACATGTCTCGCGAAACCAGGCCAGATGTACCGTCGGACCACCCTACGGCCTCGGTTCCTCGATTCTCATCGATTGGCGGCGGTCTTTCCGAGCCAGTGTGCGGCGCCGCGACGCCCCTGGACGTCCAGAGCGGTTCCGATGCCCTCTCACGACCGATCACCGGGGCTCCGCTGGCCCGCGCGTCAGGTGAACGCGGCACTCGACAGCTACAGCTTGGGCGCCTCCTGCCAGCGCCTCGAAAACGACACCAACACGGTCTACAGCGACGACGCGCCCACGAACGCGGACTGGCGCTGTCGTTGCGTCGAGACATCTTGTCTCGACTCCAGAAGACGCTCGGCCATCGAAACGGTGCTCTGCGCGCCTGTTTTCCTGCCGCTGGTGCCTCGCCAGTACACCCTAGCCGTACTAAACCAGTACAAACGCGTCGTATACGGCCGTATATACTCGCTTCGGCGCCCCGCTCGACCGCCCGGGGCCCGCCCGGACTCACCGGGCCAGCGTGGACGTGCGTGGCACCCGCCGCCGTCGGGTGGACGCGCGTACGTGGCGCTCGCGCACGCCGGAAATCTCCAAAAACCGACATTTTCGGCCATAACTTGTGCCAATCGATGACCTAGCATGATCGGCTGCGGTTCCGGAGCCCCAGATAAACGTCCATCACGATGAGACAAGCAGGGGGTCCGCGGTCGAGGTGCCCAAAATCGTCGATTTTCCAGTGGCGTGGGCAGGGTAAAAATTTAGCGAACCTTGACGACAACTGGATGTGCTTCATCGACGCGCCGCCCACCGAGACGATGGACGCGTCCGGCGCCAGCGAGCTGCGCCAGCGGGAGGTGGAGGACGCGCAGGGAACGACGGGCGCGACGGAGCCGATCCTCGGCCGCGTCGACGACAACCCGACGGCCCTGGAGACGAAGTACGTCATGGAGCTGCGCCGCTCGCCCACGCGCGCGGAGCTGCGCGCCGAGGCCGCGGGCCAGCTCAAGGCCGTGCTCGTCGCCAAGGGCTACAAGCGGTCGACGCTGAGCGGCCTCGACCGGGACGAGCTCGTCGATTTGGTGCTGCCGCTGCTGGACCCGGACAACGCGTACTTCGACGACGCGCCGCTCCCGCTCGGCTCCAACTGCTGGCAGCAGCTCGTCCTCCGCTTCCTTTTGGTGGCCGGCGCTTTATCGTACGTCCACGCGCTCCTCGGCCTGAGCGGCTGGTCCTCCGCCGGCGCCTACGGC